TTAGATAGAGCTCGTCGAGTTGTACTTGGAACCCGGCTGGAACACTGTGAACACGCTCCTGGACGAATATGGGCAGGTTTTAGTAAGTAGGTTTGGTTTTTCCTATGGAAAAAGAGCAGTTTTTTGGATTTTTCTCACGATTGGTTTGGGCTATGGAAAATCCAAAGTTACCATTAGATAGAGCTCGTCGAGTTGTAGTTGGAACACTGATTGGTACACTTGGAACACGCTCCTGAACGAATATGGGCAGGATTTACTCGAATATGGTGCTAACTTCACCTATGTCCAAACTATCAAGAAATTCTTTCGTATAAAATTGAACTTTCCCATAAACTCAATCAAATAATAAAAAATAATAATATAAATATTACTTAAAGATTGAATTTATTTTGTCTATAAACAAGAAAATAAAACTCATTGATTGTTCTTAATATTTTTCTTAAGATTTAATCGTCAAATTAAATAGCAACTATTTCTATTCGACTGAATTCTTCAATTTGATTTTATATCATTTGAAATAAATCTTCTAGAAAAATTAGATAAAATATATTACAAAATTTGAAAACATTTTCTAGTAAACACTAAAAATTATTTATCAAAAATCAATTTTATTCAATTCAATCAATTTTTTCAAATGATTTATCAAAAAAAAACAGATCTTGTATTGAAATTTATCTATCCAAGATAATTTAAAATGACTTTCAAATAAATTCGTATATTTAAAATTAAACTATTTTTCAATATTATTTCCAAAAGATTTTCATATTCAAATAAACATGAATAAAATTCGAAAACAACAACCGAAATAATGTTTATTATAATCACTTAACAAAAGATAATAAATAAACTTTATAAATGCTTTTTCTTTTTTCTTTGCAAACAAAGAAATGTCTCTATCATATATGATTTTAAAGGCTATTCAATAATAAGAAAGAGAAAAAAAAAAGTCATGCTATTTTTCACTATTTTTGTTCACCGTCCAAAACAATAATTGAAAAGAATATCATTGTTTTCATTGACGATATCGGCCAATTAAAATTAATGAATAGAACATATATATATATATATAGTCTTAGAAAAGTAGATATATGTACACAAACAAATATGAAAGATTTATTGGTTGAGTTTGATGATGTACCTGATGAAATTCTTATATATATATTTAAAAAACTGTACAATGTTGAAGTACTTTATTCTTTAATGGATGTTAATCAACGACTCAATAGAATTGTACATGATACAATTTTTACTCGTGATTTATATTTATTAGAATATTTACCAGACAACAAAACTAGCTCTCCATTATCAGATTCAATACTTGATCAATTTTGTTCAAAAATTTTACCTGAAATTGGACACCGAATTGAAACTCTTTATCTTGAACAAACATCAATGAAACGTATTCTTCATGTTACAAATTATCCTAATTTAAATAACCTTAGTTTATTTCATATCGACTCCGAAACAGCTATGGCTCTATTTGATGGTAAGAGATTTTCTTTGATTGATTTTATGGTAGAATTAATTAGTTATTAGAAAACAACATAATTTATTTTGAACATATAATCAATAGAATTAGATATTCATAATTAAACATCATCTAATAATAGAAAATCAATTTTTTTAATTTCACTTTTATTTACTACATAAAATATACTCTTTATAGGAATGTCGTTACGAAAAAAAGAATTTAATTGTTAATTTGTATAAGAAAAAAAAATATATATATTGATAATATATTCGATTGAAATTTTTCAAGATTAATAGAGTTAATATAGAGAGTTTAGAAGAAAATCAATAATATAAACAAGTCAATAAATGAGATAGAGAACACAACATTAATAATATAGAATCTAATCTATAAAAGAATTTAAAAAAAAAAAAAGAAAACATCACATATAGATGATAATGTTGTTAAATAGAAAATCTTAGATATTTTAATCGAATGAACAGAAACAAATTTGAAAAATATCTTTATCATTAACTTTAAAACTTTTTATTTAGATAAAAATCCTTTAACTCATATATTCAAGAATCAAATTTCATCACTCTTTATCAATTTTAAAGAAGTAAACGACTCGCTTCCACTGAGAACTATCTATTCAACTATATTTGAAAAAATATTGACCATATTTACTAATTTACAATGCTTAAAATTCAATCCATCTGCATCTTATGATGATGCTGTATTGTTTTATTTGATACGTGAAACTGCTATCTCTTCAACTTTATTAGAGTTACATGTTAGTGTGCTAGAGATGCGGGACTGTCTTGATCTACTTGATGGACGTTTTGATCAACTTCGTGTACTTTATGTTACTGTTGATAGGATTTTGCCTTGGTTAGAAATTCAACATGATGTAGGTTATTTTTAGTAATATTTTGTTTGTTTAAATGAACTCATATTTGTTTTCATTTTCAGCCAAAGCTATTACCAAACTTACGAATTTTTTCTTTATGCTTCAAGCGTAAGGCGTATCATTTTGATAAATCAATTGTGTCACTTCTACGTCGAATGTTAAATTTAGAAGAACTTCATTTAAATATTATAGTCAAATGTAATGGAAAATTTATTGATAGTGATACACTGATGAAAGATATTATTATTTGTATGCCACGATTATATAAATTTACATTTAATATTTGCTCAATCATTAATCATTGTGATCAAACAAATTTCCCATTAAATGAACATATTGAGAAAACATCTGAATATTTATATAATAATGAAATAATTACTTGTATTGATCATTTTCAAGAAGAAGGATATAGTCAATGTAATATTTATTCATATCCATATAAATGGAAAGTTTACAATAACATAACAAATAATTTTCGAGGTGGATTATTTACTAGTGTTACTCAAGTATCATTATATGATGAACATCCATTTGAACGTGAATTTTTTCTTCAAATTGCTCAATCATTTCCATTTATGAAAGAATTAACAATAAACAATCGAAAAGCACAAAATAATAAACAACTTATAAAATCAAATAATGATAATCAAATGTTATCAATTATTGAATATCCTAATCTTACTCGACTTGATCTTCATTATACTCATAATGATTATGTCGAATTATTTTTATTTGATAGGAAAATGGCTCTGCCAAATAATCTTCATCTTTGTGTCGATTATCAATTACTAAAAAAAGTGACATACAATTTTACAAGATATACAACACCAAATAATTGTGCAAAACTTGCTACTCTATATTTTTATCCAGTGGATCAAATCGGTGAAAATATCAAAAAGTATTTTCCTCATACATGTATACGTTGTATTTCTGATTTTGTATTACGTAAATAAAATAGATCAAAAATAAATTCATTTATATGGAATGAAATGATTGAAATAGACAAAAGAGAAAGAATAAAGATAAGAATTTCAAAGAGAAGTTAAACAATATACAGTTTCATTAAAAATTGATTGTACAACTGAGAAATGAATTTGTATACAATAGATCTTCATAATTGGTTAACAATTTGAACTTTAGATGTTTCATCAATATATAGCTTACCTATGATAGTGTTTTTTCAGATCAATTCTTTGCATCTGTCAATCAAAAGTATTCACAGAACAGAAAAGAATGACATCTTCGATGATTTTCTTTCTAATTTTCTCTATCAAAAATGCTTGATTTTTCTTGTCAATTACTATTTATTCTTGTTAGTCAGAATCAGAATAAATAATATTTATGAGTAAAGAATATACACAAGGCTAAAAAAAAATATTGTCGAATGTATTCCTTCAGTTATCTTGTGTTCAAAACATAGTCTATTTAACTTTGACAAAAGATGGTCCATTTTAATTGAAAAAGTTCTATAATCATGTTTCATATGATTGGCATCAGCTCTTACTATAGTAAAAGCATTACATTTATTTTATAGGAAAGATGAAGATAAAAATAATGATTTTTCTTTTATGACATTTAAATACAAATGAGAACAAAATTGTATTTTATATGTTACATATATTTAAGATAATATCAATTCAGAATAGTTCACATATACCAAATAATTATTGACTAGAAAAGAGAGAAAACTAGAACCTTCTTCATCTTCGGTACAAAACAATCGAGATCATATTGACTTTGATTAAAACGAAAATCAAATTCATAATATGTTACATATAATAAACCATTCGATGGAAAATAATTTATATAATGTGCAAGTATTATGAAATTTTTAAGCACAGAAATATCTTTTAAAATCCATTTTCTATCATCTAAGGGATATCTTGAATGACGTCATAAATAAATTGGATGTGAGAAATTTTGAACATGTCCATTTTATTAATTAAGTCACCTTTACATACAAGTAAATATGTATTTCATATGTATAATAAAACTAGTGGATCAAAATGGCGATGATAAATTATTGATAAATATATAATAACAAATATTGTACAACACTTATTATTTGATCATAATCAATAAAAACAGGTTGTGTATATATTTGGAATATACGACTATTTAATGAAAAATTAAATTCTTCTTAAAGAATATTTTGAGAAGATTTATTTGATGAATTATCTAATAAATGAGGAAATAATTAAACAAATTGTTGATAAAGACTATTTTTGTCTATTTGATTTTCAATTGATCGACATAACAATTAAACTTTATCAATTGTTCGAATATCTAACTATGACGAACGACGACCAAATAAATATTAAAATATCTAGACAAGTTTTTATTTCATGAAACAACCTTCTTCATAAAAATTTTCAATGTTTTTTCGAACAATATGCGAACAAACAAAGATCGAACAAAGGAAAAAACCGACAAAAAAACAGGAGATAGTGGATAGCAGAGATTAGTACAAATCAAATAATAAATGTTTAATGAACACGAATGACAGCGCAAAATAGATAACAAGAAGAAAACCACAAGAAATTTTTTTTGACAAGGGAATAGAATGATTATTTTTGTTTGTTTGTTTGGGAATAAGATTTATTTTTTTAATCTTTTTATTGAAGACATTGAAAAGCTTTTTTGCAAATTCTTTTAGACAGTAATTTCTATTTTCCTATCACCAAATTGCAATAATATTTAATCATTTTTTATTCGTGATTTCGATTAGTCGAGATTTTTGCTATTTCTATAAATTGCCTCAGTCATCTTAGATCAATTCTAGCATTATTATTTGCGGCAGTTTTATTCTAGTTTCATATACATTTTGTACTGCGTGATAGAAAACCTATTATTGTTATTTTATATGTAAAGATAAATTTCAAGTATTATTTCACAGTGCGTGCTTTTTTTTAATTTAACAATTATAAAAAAATTAAATACTTTCTTTTTTAATTAAAGTTTTTTTGTTTTGATGACAACTTCGCATTTCTTTATGAAGTTAAATTTAGCATGTATGAACTCATTTGTCAAAGAAATGCACAAATGTTGTAATCGTTTTATTTTAATATCTTTTTCATACTGTAATTTTGTTGCATAACATAACAAAACCTTACTATTGAATGCACTAATTTGAATTATAGTTCGTCATACAAGATGATTATTCAACAGCAGCATACTTTTTGTTGTTATAGTAGTAATTAGAAAAAGTTTTAGTAATGAATTGAATTTTAAAGAACAAACAAAATATTCTTTTGGGTGTGGGTGGGTGTGGGGGTGTGGGTGTGGGTGTGGGGGTGTGGGTGTGGGTGTGGGTGTGGGG